AAAACCCCAAAACCCCAAAACCCCAAAACCCCAAAACCCCACATAGTCAGCATTATCAAAATGATGCTAAATTATATGAAAAATAAATGAAAAAGAATAATTTCTTGACAGGCTCATAAAACAATGCCAGTCAAAATCAAAATGACACAGCTATGAGTTAAGTGATGCCCCTTCTGTAGATAAAGAATACACCTGTGCTTTCAAAAAGACCTATGTCTTCATGTAATCTTTGTTATTAAAATAGATTTGTAGACACTAGACTTACACATATGAATGGTGGCTTAAGTACTGCATAATCATCAACAGGTTTTACTTCTGTCAAGAAGAAAATGCCACCTTCACAAGCTTTGTACTCAATATCTGATTAGCTTGAAGATCTTAGACATAAAGAGGTATTAATTAAACTTAGTCATTTATCCACAAATAAATTTTAATATTTAAAAACCAGAATTATTAATAATTTACAGATAGAACTTGAGAAAGCAAAGTTGGACTTCTTCAAAAAGGCTGAAGAGCATCGATTTCAGACTGATCTTACTTAAGCCAAAAAGGAGTTCAATGATCAGATTGACTACATTAAACAGTCTAATGCAGTTAACTTGAAACTAATACAGTAGCAGCATTAAAAGGAGATATAGTTGTTGATCAATAATTAAAGATAAGAGGTTGATAAAATTCGAAGCAAACATGACATTGAGCAGGATGAGTTACTCAACTAGATCAAGGTGTTAGAACTATAGCTGAAAAATAAAGCTAAAGACCTGCAATAAAAACATTAATAAGATCTATTGCTGATGCAATAATAGTTTCAAAATGATTTGGGTCTGAGAATGTAAGCAATTAAAAGTCAACATGAACAAAATTTAAAGTAATAAAGAGTGTTGCTTAAGCAAAAGTTCAAGTAGTCTCGAGATTAGTAGATTTAGGTGATTATAGATAAATTGAATGAGGAATAGTTCCAATAGATGTAGAGTTTAAGAGATACGATAAGAGAAGGGAATAGAGATAGAGAGAAAATGAGGATACAGGTAGAGGAGTTAGTGACTAGGAATAGGAGATAAGAAGCGTTTATCAAGGATGTTCAAAGCAAGTAAGATACATAATAGCCAGTGGTTATAACTTAGAATGAGATCACCAAGGAATTACTGATAAAAACTGATATGTATATGTAAACAGATGAAATAGTAAAGGATGTCAGGTACTAATCTATCTAGACTGATGAAATCAAAGATGAGTCCAAATAAATCATCAAAGATCTTAAGCATGAGCTATTAAAATTAAAAGAGTAGTTAGATTAATACACTAAAGAGAACCAAAGATTAAAAACTATTTTAGACGAAACTAACTAGAAATCGCAGATTTAGATGCTGTAAATTGAATAAAGTACCAGAGAATTAGTAGAAAATGCTATTCAATAGGTTAGAAACTATAAATCAATCAATATGCAGCTTCAGATAAAATACAAAGAGGTTGTCTAAATGCTGAATATATTAGCAGCTAGTTCAGAATCCTATAATGAGATTGAAGGGAATATAGATTAATGGCAATAAAATGCTGGAATTGCTTTTGATTGTGATAAATAATGTTTGGCTATTGATTTTCAATGATAAATTGTGTTTTACACTTATAATCGCTCGTGGGGTTTTGGGGTTTTGGGGTTTTGGGG